TTGTTTTTGTAGGGTCTCACTATGCAGTTCAGGCTGGCCAGGCTGGCCTCAAACTTGCACGAAACCTCCTGCCTCAGCCTCCCGAGTGCTAGGATTACACCCATGCACCACCATGCCTGGTTTTGTATCTTAGCTGTTTTATGTCAGTAGACAATAAATGTAACCATTTGGCACGGCACTTTGCTATGTAAAAACTGTAAGGTGTCAACAATGGATCAAGTAGTTTTAAGCTGGCTTAAAGTTTTTGATAACACTACTTACTGTTCCTGCCTTGCTATCACCACTCTATGCTTACTGAAGTCCAAAGTCCAAAGTCACCATAATGAAACACACTCAAGAAAATTAAAATCCCAGAAATTAAATCTTCTGTAACGAAATACAGAAGCTACTACTAGCTTAACCAGTTACGTTAGTTTGTGTTTGTTTCTTGAGTCAGGGTCTCGGTATGTAACCCAGTTGGCCTCAAATTCCTAGCTCAAGTGAATCTTTCAGCCTCCAGTACTTGGGCTCCACCAAGATCAGCTGGGGTTAGTTCCTCTATTTCTGAGAACTGCTGCCACCTGTTGGTGATGCTTATGATAATACCGATACTTGGTGAGAGACCCAAACTCCAGTCAAAATTTTTGAAATTTTCTTTCAAAGTGGATATCCATGTTACTGCATTTTTTCAGCTGATTACCTTAACATCTCTTGAAAAAAAAAAAAATAGCAGGCATATTAAGGGATTTCTGATGTAACCCAGAGCTTTCTACAACTATAAAATGACTTTACTAACCATGCTACAGGTCTGTGAAGATGGCTTCCAAGTCTTTTAGCTATTTGCTATATCCCTGGACAGGATGAAATGTAGTCTGCAAATGGCAGGACTTAACTGAGAAGGCAAGCTAATCCTCTCATGCCAGAGCAGTCACAAAGGTCCCACCTGACCCGAAGGATACTCTGATCAACCTGTTCAAAGGTTAATTTTTTTTTCATGAAGCTGAACAAAGAGAAATGAGTGTAACAGGTAAACAGCCTCAAACTGCATATGCAAGCAGTGAAGTGTCTTGAGAAATAATTGATTGAAAGCCACAAAAAAACCTCAAAAAGAAAGAATTTCACTGATTTGCTGAGCCTACTAAGACCAGAAAATCAGACTTCAAGAAAGGCTTTTCGGCTTCTGACCCATTCGGGTACTTCAAGATAGAATGGACAGTCAGACATGGCGTCCATGGCTGTAATCCCAGCACTCTGGGAGGCTACCGCAGAAAGACTGCAAGAATGAGCCCAGCGAGGCCAACTCAGGGACTGGTTAAGATTCTTGTCTCCAAATAAAAAAAAAGGGGGATGTAGCTCAGTGTGGAGGCCCTGGGTTCAATCCTTAACACTGAAAAAAAAAAGATACAATGAATATTTATATAATACTAACAATGTAAGTGGAGGGGACACCATGACAGCCCGGAGCACTCTGAAGAGTCATGCTGATTCAATGTAATAATGTGGTACCCAGGATGGAATAGAAAAATGACATGAGAAAAACTAAGGAAACCTCAATTAAATATGGACTCTAAGTTAACAATAATGTATTAGTTCATTCATGTGACAAATGTACCATACCAACGTACGGTATTAGTAGGGGAAAGAGGGTGTGGTATATATTTAACTCCATACTATTTCTGCAGTATTTCTATACATCTAAAACTTTTCTAAAATTAAAAGTTTATTTTAAAAAATTGATGCAACAATGCAGTTCAATTGGCAAAGGCAGGCTCTTGATCAGAGAGATTGATCAGAGCATCCTTTGGGTCAGGTGGACCTTTGTGGCTGTGCTCTGGCATAAGAGAATTAGTTTGAGAGGCTGGAGATTTAGCTCAGCGGCACAGCGCCTGCCTGGCAAGTGCAAGGTTGTGAGTTTGATTCCTGGTACCGGAAAAAAACAAAAGACAAACAAAAAAAAAGAGAATTAGTTTGCCTTCTCAGCTAAGTCCTGTGGACTGCATTTCATCCTGTCCAGGGATACAGCAAAAAGATAAAATTAGTTCAATCAAGTGTAGAAAGTCAGAGTCTCTAGTTTGACTTATTTGGAAGCTTATTTTCACTTATCAGCTCTAGACCCACAAGCCTTTTATATAAAATCAAGACACAAGACCCTCTCAAATTCCCACCAAAAAGACCTCTAAGGTTTTTGTCCACTTCTATCAAGTCTCAGCCCACTTGTACGCAGGGCCTTCTTGCAGTGAAGCAAGGTGAAAAACTGCACTGTCACACATTCCTCAACACAGAAACCTTTCACAACCCCACTGGCTTTGCAGGGCTTTCAAGGAGACACCCGAATCTTTCATTTTACTTACGGACAACAATAGCAAAGCTATACCATCTTTTTTTTTTTCTTTGGTACCAGGAATTGAACTCAGGACTTTGTGCTTGCCAGGCAGGCGCATATGCCACTGAGCTATATCCCTGGCCCTACCCTCTTAAAATTAGTTTGTAATGCATGCTTCAAAAGCGGGGCTTTACAAACTGTGGTAGATTGATGCATGGTCAGCATTTAACACCCAGCTGAACTGAATCAGAGTGGTGTGGAAGGCCCACCTGAGGACTGTTGCCAACAGCATAAAAGGGAAGATGGTGTGCTGTTGCTTCTCCCGGAGAAGCCTGTCACTATGGCTTTCTTGGTATGAACTCTTCTGTTCTGTCAGAGGAGCTCGGGTGCTCCTGTTGCTGACGACGGCTGCAGTTCTATTCAGGTGGGCTCTGGTCCTTACCTGGAGTGTTACTTTCTGGCTCCAGTGCAGATCTCTCAGCCTTCTGGCACAGATCCTTCACTCCATTGATGCAGACTTCCTAGTTTCCACCCCTGATCTTTGGGCCTTCCCAGCGCAGATTCTTGGTAGAGACTTGCACGAGACATTGTTGTGGGCTCTGGGCCTCTAGTTGGACTCATGGAGGACATTGCTATGAGTTCTCAGTCCTCAGCTGGATTCTTTGGGTTTCTAGTGTGTGAGCAGACCTCCTACACTCTTCTGTATTTGATTCTTTGGGTGAATATTATAATCCTATAAATTATGTGTCCTATATTGTTTCCTTGCAAACCCTGGCTACAACACAAACCATACTGTCTTTGTTAAAATTAAGGGGTAAAGGTTTTGTACTTAAGGAAGAAGGAAAGAAATGGGTGACTAAACAAGTCTTTGAGACTAAATACTATACCTGCATTGGGCTTTAAAAAATCATAAATGGAAAAAAAAAAAGCCTCTTATTTTGTCATAAAACTGTATTATGTAATGATGCCTACTTCTATGACAACATAATATACAGCAGCTTAAATAAAATCTCTAGCAAATATCACTAGCTCATTAACTATTCTGAGTGGCTGTGAAAAATTAAAATTGAACTCCAATCAAGAAGTTACTCAAATATATGAATAATGGTTTTAACTTTTATTTCTTATCTTCAGCTTATTCTTTTTTTTTTTTTTTTTTTGCGGTATTGGGGATCGAACTCACGACCTTGCGCTTGCCAGGCAGGTGCTTATGCCATTGAGCTATATCCCCAGCCCTCTTCAGCTTATTCTTTAACTTCAGTTCTTATATATTATTAAATATGCAGAATTGAAATCTGTGAAGCTAACTTGTTTAAACAAAGTATGAACTCTTATTTATACAAAATGTGAGCTCAGTCACAAGCCCATGTGAATGAGGTGGTGCTATTCTGGGACTGTTTCCATCTCACTTTAAAAATATATCGCTGGGGATGCAGGTCAACAGCAAAGCACAAACTCAGCATGTCTGACTTCCTGGGTTGGACACCCAGCACCCCGCCAAAAAAAGCAGAGTTTTATTTTATTTTATTTTTTTCTGGTAATGGGAATCAAACTCACGACTTTGCACTTGCTAGGCAGGCTCTGTGCCGCTGAACTAAATCCCCAGCCCCTAAAAGCAGAGTTTTAAAATGCTACCAGTTGCCTTGGTGACAGAACAAATAGCAATCACTCTGTTCTACTTATATGATTTTTCAAATTATTTTTATTTTTAAGATTATGCATCCTCACTGACAATCCAGAAACAGTCTTTACTGATTTCTTGGAAAAACACTGAACAGTTAAAAGTGATTTCTCAGTTTTCAATGATATGGTAAGAGAAAGAAGTTTAAAAGGTACAGTTGAATGCTCCTGTCCTTAATTTGCTATCAAGCCACTCACCAAACTGTAAGGAAAGACAGTTTTCCAAAAAGCCAACAAACCCCCAAATAGGAACCTGTATCACTGCAAAATTATCACCCAAAACACTGTTACAAAAAAAGGTAGGAAACCAAATTCCCATAGCTCACTGGAGAAAACTTTTTTAAAGTCAGGAAATAGGACCAGAATTACAGTGCTGTATAAAGGTTCAAAATCAAGACTAATTAAAAAATCATTCAGCTTTTTCACCCTGGGAATGTATTAGGCTTTCTCTTATTCCAGCAGATGAAATAAAAACATGTGGTACTAGAGTTAATAGTAAAACTGTCCTTACCAACAGAAGGCAGAGGAAGAGTACAGGGAGAAAATGTGGAACAAAAAAGGTTTGTCTCTAAATTCTACTGCTCAGGAAAGTGGGATAGGGCCACAATTCTTCTGAACCAGTATCATCACATTGTAGATTTGGCTCAAAACCCGTGGTCTATATATACCACTCATAGGTATCAAGTGACATACAGTGTTGGTGGTTTTTTTTGTTTTGTTTTGTTTTGGAGACAGGGTCTCACTATGCAGTTCAGGCTGGCCTTGAGCTCACTTTGTAGCCCAGGCTGGTCTCAAACTCGCAACAATCTTCCTGCCTCAGCCTCCCAAGTGCTGGAATTATAGGCGTGCGCCACCACACCCAGCTGTTTGTGGTATTAAAAAATATTTTAAAATTATTATAAATTTCTATTCTGAAAGCAGATCAAAATGACAATGGGCCATCCACACAGAGTAGAAGGCTCCCTCCTAAAAAAACTTAGCAGAAATTTAGGTTGGGAAGAATGTAACATGAATGAGATAAAGTTCTCAGTACAATTTTAATGGGGCGTCTACCCACCCCAGGTGTATGAAGTGGTACTGAAGGGGCTGCAACCGAATGTCTGAGAGGGATGCTTCTTGGAGGCAGGTCTATATGTTTAGCTCTTGACCCACACCTACATCTTGGGGAAGAAAATAAATACTTATTTTTAACTATTTAGAGCTTTGGACATGTTATATAACATTCAATAATCTGTAATTTTCATTTTCTGAACCTTTGGCTTCTAATTTTATCAGTTTATGTTACATGGAAACATGGATGCCTTAGTCAACAGCATCAAATGAAAATATAAATCTTGTTCTTCCTTATCTTCTACTCGGGAAGAGTGAATGCACAGTATCCTAAAATCCTGAGAAGTTTCTTAGTGTACTTGAGAAAAGATTAGGACAAACAATTCCACTTCTATATTGTGAGCAGGAGTCAACTAGTCTTCAATCACATCTTCCCAAACATCTCCATTAACATCCACCGCATGGAATAACCTGGAACATAAAATAGGGTACATATTTATGCACCTGGACAAAACTGAACATTAATCTATCTTTCCTTCTCTCAAAAATACTGTCTGCATTTTTCTGTTTTGTTTTTTTTTTTTTTTTGGTTTTTCTCCGGTACCGGGAACCAAACTCACGACCTTGCGCTTGCCAGGCAGGCGCTTTTGCCGCTGAGCTAAATCCCCAGCCCCTTGTCTGCATTTTTCTGATAATATCTTTTCTTCTGCTTTCATCACACATTGAGGAAGGCTGAAATTTGGGTTCCTCTGAAAAAGTCAGTCTTAAATTTGTAAATGCAGTCCTTTTTGGATCACAAATTCTCTACAGCCAAGTATAGACAATAATAGGAGACTGGGCATGGTGGCACATATCTGTAATCCCAGCACTCGGGAGGCTGAGGCAGGAGGATCACTGCAAATTCAAGGCCTGCATGAGCTACACAGTGAGTTCAAGACCAGTCTGAACTACATAGTGAGACCTTGTCTCAAAAAAGGAAAAAAAAAAAAAACAACAACCCCCCTGCGAAAAAACCCAATAATATGATAATAGGTGATACTTATCACAAAACCGATACTCAATGCTTACAATATGTGCAGCAGGCCAAGATCAGAAAGGCCAGGTGGTGTAGAAGCTGAAGAGTTAAGACACTAACTCTCTTTTATGCCAATCCCTCCACCGGTGGAATGTGGTGTAATTGTCAATTTGTCTTTCTTCTCTTCTATTACCAAAAATTTATGCAATTTCCAATACTAAACTTTAACAGTTCACAGGCAAAGCTTATTTCTTCAATTCTTCTTATAGTTTAATAATGCTGACAAGTGTAGGTATTCTACAGAAACCTAGTAAGAGTGATCACTGACTGACGCTAAAAGTGGAGAGCTAGTGGAGAACAGAATATTCACAGTGACAAGGAATCCTCCACACTGGTAAGGAAAAAGGAAAACTCACCTTTTGTAATGAAACAAATGATACATCTAAATATCACACTAACAGAGGAACAGCCTGACATTATGGGCCCCGTATGCTATGTAACAGGCAGTATGTAACACCTCCTCATGTTGTATCCTTGTCAGAAATGGTTACTCTAACCTAATCAAACATCTGTCTGGACTGAACTTCAAGTTAACAGGAAACAGCAAAGAGAGAGACACTAAAAGACACCACGGAGAAATGAAATCCTAGAAGGTAAATCACATAGGACAACTGGCTTAGACACTTCAAAAAGTCAAGGTAAGAGGCTCCAAAAGTTTTTTATAATAAGAGACAGAACTGATCATAATAACTGGGCTGGGGAGGTAGCTCAGTGCTAAGCATTTGCCTATCTTGCACAAGGCTCTAGGTTCAATCCCCAATACGACCAAACAAATAAAACTTTGATGAGTATAGTAACAACTTTAACAGGAGTTTTCAGGAATAACTAGGAAGTTTTATATATGCTGAGTTTACTAAAATGATAAAATGATAGTATGTCATTCTCATAAAAATTTTTAAAGTAATACTATTACATAGAAGCCTTTTCTTCTTTTTTTTTTTTTTGTACTAGGGATGAAGCCAGGGGCTCAGGAATGCTAAGCATATACTCTGATCGCTGAGCTACGTTCCTGGTCCTTGGGAACATTTTCTCAGGAGATACGTGGAGAAGCTGAAGCATTATTATAACTCCAACTAAACTTTAGTTCAGCAAAAAGGTTAAGTAAAGACAACAAATATGGCAAACTAGTTCATTCTGCCATTTATAGTACTATCTTCTCAACTTTTGTGTGTGTTTCAAAGTTTTCCTTACAAAAAGTTCATACAAAATTTAAAATTTCAGAGTGTATATTCTCAAACTCCTTTTCAAGAAAATAAAATAAAAGTTTATATATGGGGGAAAGTATGTAGAAAAATTGACTAATTAAGTCTAAGTATTTAGTAAAACACTGGATTTGTGGTCTTCAAATCAAATGCCAAAAGCTGCCACAGAGCGGGGGAAATTCTGTGCATACATACCTATTAAAACATGGGGAATCGGGATCATTGAAATGTTTGTAAGGGTTGGCTCTAGAAAGTGAACCCATGCAAATCCAACAGAAATACTGCATACAGCCAGTACACGTCATCTTGTTACATCCATCCAATTTCTGGTGGGAAGGACAGAAAGAGAAAACCATCAAGACTACAAAGGCAAAAGAAAAATGTACATGACAGAAAGATTCAGCATATTCTCCAGGTTGTTCCTCTTTTCTCATGCAGGGTTGAAATATACAGGTAACATGACGACGACTGTTTCATGCTTATTATTTTTACAACTGAAATATAGAAAATATTTAGCAGGTGTTCCTACAATAAGATATTTAGCAAACCCTCTTGATAAACAGTAGATACAAATCAAACACATGACTGGGTATTAAATTTTGGATTAAGTATGATTAAGTTTTAAATTTTTACTTAAATCTAGGTAAATAGTATCAAGTCCCCCATTTTATCATAGGGATAAAGCGTGTCAGAAGTGGTCAAATGTAATACCAGTCTCTTTCATGAAGTAATGGGGTAACCACTAGGCTTAGGTTAGAGATAACAGATTGAAACAGCACAATCAAGTGTAAAGTATATTTTGACTTTAAAACAGGTTAAGGTTTTGACATGAAGCAAAAGATCCAATTACTTGGCTCACATTAGTGGAAAAATGTCTACTTCCTGAGTGTATACTTGTTAAAGGAGTACGCTACTTTCCAGGATAAACAGTTCTGAGGGGTCAGATATGATTTTTTTTAATCACAAAGACAAATTCAGAGTTGATGTAGTAGGGTGTGGTGGTGCACGCCAATAATCCCAGCACTCAAGAGGCTGAGGCAGGAGGAGCACTGTAAGTTTGAAGTCAGCCTGAACTACAAGGCAAGACCCTGACTCAACTGAAAAAGGAACAAAAAGATTTGAATGTAGTTCCACCCCTAATCTGCCATTCTTTCCTTTTCCTTTTCCTTTTCTTTTCCCTTCCCTTTTCCTTTTCTTTTCCCTTCCCTTTTCCCTTCCCTTTTCCCTTCCCTTTTCCCTTCCCTTTTCCCTTCCCTTTTCCCTTCCCTTTTCCCTTCCCTTCCCTTCCCTTCCCTTCCCTTCCCTTCCCTTCCCTTTCCTTTCCTTTCCTTTTTTGAGCCAGTGTCTTGCTCTGTAGTTCGGGCTGGCCTTGAACTTGTGGTAATCCTCCTGCCTCAGCCTCCCAAGTGCTGGGATTACAGGCGTGTGCCACCATGTCCAGCTCTACTGTAGTTTAATATGGTTTGTCTTATCTGAAACTTATATTGGAAACTTTCAGGAAGATGTCAGAATGGTGAGCAGCAGAGAAACAGCCTCTCTGATATTTGGAATCCAGATACTGGAATACAGCAACATGAAGAACAGGAGGAAAGTGGGTCCCAGGGACCAGGCAAAGATCTGAAGTGAGAATCAGAACCCACAGGCAAAGCGAAGAGAAAGATCACACAACATGCAGAAGGGAGGTAGCAAACAGCACTTTCTCTCCGAGACCCAGCTCAGGGCGAGGGAGAGCAGCTCGGACCTGCAGAGGCACAGTGACTACTGGCAACACCGGAGGGCCACAGAGAAATGCACCAGTGGAGCAGAGCAGTAGGTGCTGCCGACGGCAGTGGCTGGCGAGTCGTCAGGGTGCACATGCCCCCTCGGAGGCGCTGTCTGCTCCGTCAATCAGTGACAACAGAGGCACGCTGTGAAGTGTGCATCTTTTCTTCCTTTCTTTTTAAAGTATCTTTTCTCTTTTTCTTTCTTGTTTGTTCTTGTTTTTATATGAATGAGAGCACTGTTTCTAGTTTTTTGTTTGTTTGGTTCTGTTGTTTCTGTTTCTTCTTTCTTTCCCTCCTGTCTTCTTTATTAGTTCCCAAAGCTTGCATAATGTTCCTTCGTCCTCCAGCCTGGCTTCTCATCTTTCTCTTCTATTTCTCTATTTTTTCCCCAACCCCTTTAAAAATTTCTCCCTTGAGGGTTAAATCACTATATTGAGAGATACTTACTGTACATAATTTTCATGTTTGTTTTAGATTTAGTTGTATAACTACAAATCCTGTTTATATGGTTAAAGATGGCAAATTAATAGTTACTGCAGTGTGTCACTTCTTAGGATATGTTGGATGCTATGGTTATTACTAAATGTACTACTTTAGCCAAGATGATATAACTGCTCTAATCAGTTGTTCTTCCTTGTACACCAAAACTGAGATTGCCTGAGGGACATAAATACTATAGACTAGTGCCAAAGAACCATGGCAAGGCCAAATAAACAGCAATTTCTCATCCTCAATGAATTCAAGAGGCAAAGCTTTTCTGGGTTTTTGTTTGTTTTTGAGACAGGGTCTCACTTTGTAGTACAGGTTGGCCCTAAATTCACTATGTAGCCCAGACTGGCTTTGAATTCATGGAAATCCTCCTGCATCAGCCTCCCCAGTGCTGGGATTATATATGTGTGCCACCAAGCCCAGCTCCAAAAAGGTAGGCTTTTACAACAGACTCAAAACCCAAAAGCCAGCTATACCTCAAAGGCATCTTTGAGATGTACTTACTTCCTAAAGGTCCGCCATACTAGTAATAAAGGTACCTACCATAAGCAATTTACAAGTGTAAATGCAGGAACTAAACTAAAAAAATAAAAGAAAGTGAGTAGACACAGGAGCAAGATGCAACGACAGACTTTCAGCTTGACAAAGACAAACCCAAGGGGCAATGAGGTGGAACAATTCAAAAGCCACCCATCTGGCCTCTCTGAGGTGGTAACACCAGAAGTAACAAGGCAAATGAATGAGGCTCTAGAAAAAAAATCAAATGGGACATAATTTCTCAGATAACTTCAGAGATGATGGCCATAATGAAGGGCATGGTTAGTGAATCTAGACAAGACACAGATAAAAAATTAAAAAGTAGAGGAGCTTAGGAAAAGGATGCAGACCATAAATGCCCAACATGGGAAAGGAATGGAACTCATGAAACAGATTCAATCAGATATCCAGATTAAAGATTCTACTGCAAATACATGCAACAGAATAAGCCAATGTGAGGAAAGAATATCAGATCCAGAAGACAGGACTGTAGTTATCAGTCATGAACAGAGAGATTTCTTAAAAATCGCAAGGGACCACAAAATATCAATCTAACAGCTGTTAAATGATGCAAAGAATAACAACGTAAGATTGACTGAAGTCAATGAAAAAGCAGGAGATATTGCAAACAACATAAAATGATGTTCAGAGAAGTAATGGCACAAAATTTCCCAAGCATGGAAAAAGAATTTAACATACAGATAAGTAAGGCATATAGAACTCCAATAACCTATAATTTAAAAAAAATCTACCCCGAGGCATATAATAGTCAAGGTTTCAGAAATTCAACACAAGAACAGAATATTTAAAATCTGTTAGAGAAAAGAGACAAGTCACTTATAAAGGAAAGCACATCAGAATTACAGCAGACTTCTCAACACAAACCCTTAAATCAAGGAGAGCTTGGAGTGAAGTACTTCAAGCCCTAAGAGAAAACAACCTTTTCCTGGGCAACCCACTCAGGTCCCCTTCTGTCCCTCCCTTGGACAGAAGCTTCCTTTCCCTCAATAAATATATTCTGCTCTTAAAAAAAAAGAAAGAAAGAAAACAACCTCCAACCCAGATAGATATACCCTGCAAAACTATCTTTTCAAAATTGATGGCAAAATCAGATACTTCCATGACAAAGAACACCTGAAGAGATTCATGACTACCAAACCAGCACTCCAGAATGTTCTGACAGACATTCTAGAAAGAAATAATGAAGACTACAACTCCATGAACTCCATCAGAATAAACTCACCAGACAAGGGAAGTAATTAAACAGACGGGAAAGAAAAGGAACCAACAACAGGAAAATAACATGACAAGGATAAGTCAATACACATCAGTTATAACCATCAAGGTAAATGGTCTCAATTCACCAACTGAAAGAAACAGACTGGCAGAACGGACCAAGAAACAGGATCCAAGAATATGCTCCATGCAAGAAACACAAATTTAACTCAAAAAGAAATTCACAGACTGAACAATACACATGACAAAAACCAGGAAAAAAGCAGGGGTAGCTATTCTATATGCAGATAAAGTGAATTTCAAGCCAAGGCTGATTAAGAGACAAAGAAGGTCACTACATACTTGTAAAGGGAACAATCCAAGAGGAAGAGATAACAATCATAAATATATCTGCACTAAATACCAGTGCACCCAACTATATAAAACAAATGTTAAAGGACATGAAAAATCACATAAGCACTAATACAATTTTAATGTGGGACCCTCAATACCCCACTGTCACAAAGAAATCAGACAAAAAAAAATCAACAAAGAAATACCAGAACTGAACCAAATTTTTGAACAAATGGACTCAGTAGATGTTTACAGAGTGTTCTACCCCACAAGATCAGGACACACATTCTTCTCAGTTGCATATGCGACATTCTCCAAAACAATGACCACATACTAGCTCACAGAACATGATTAAGTAGATACAAAGAAACTGAAATTACCCCATGCATTTTATCAGACAATATTGCAATGAAAATGGAAATCAATGGCAAAAGAAACCACAAAAACTTCATAAACACATGGAAGTTGAGTAACACCCTCCTCAACACCCAATGAGTCATAGATTAAAGAAGAAATCAGACAGTTTCTATAATCAAATGATAATTCCAATGCAACATTATGGAACTTAAGGGATGCAACGAAAGCAGTCCTATGAGGGAAATTTATAGTGGTGAATTCCCACATCAGCAAAACAGAATGAGCTCAAATATATAACCTAATGTTGAACCTCAAGTTTTTAGAAAAAGAGGAGCATGTCAAGCCCAAGCTTGTACAAGGGAGGAAATCATAAAGATCAGAGCAGAAATTCAATAAAGACTAAGAAAACAATACAAAGAATCAATGAATCAAAGAATTGCTTCTTTGAAAGATTAAATAAAATTGACAAACTCTTAGGCAATCTTATCAAAAAAGGAAAGACTCAAATCCATGCAATGAGGAATGAAAAGGGTGAAATCACAATAAATCCTCCAGAAATCTAGATCATTAGTACCTACTTCAAGAACCTGTATTCTAGGGGCTGGGGATTTAGCCCAGTGGCACAGCACCTGCCTGGCAAGCAAAATGTTGTAAGTTTGATTCCTGGTACCGGAAGAAAAACAAACAAACAGACAAAAAAAACACAAAAAAACTTGTATTCTAGTGAGATGGAAAATACAGAAGAAATGGACAAGTTCCTAGATACATATAAATTGCCAAAGCTAAATTAAGAAGATATAAAAATTCTAAATAAACCAGTATCAGTCAATGAAATTGAAAATGTAGTTAAAAACCTACCAACAAAGAAAAGCCCACGTCTTGACAGATTCACTGCACAATTCTACAAGAAATTTAGAGATATTATGTCACTACTTCACAAACTCTTCAATGAAATTGAAAGTGACACAATACCCCAAACTAATTTCTGGAAGCAAGCATTACTATGATACCAAAACCAGAAAAGGATTCAACCAATACAGAGAACTACAGGCCAATCTCCCTAATACAGAGACATAAAAATCTTCAATAACATACTGGCAAATAGAATGCAGCAAATCATCAAAAAGATTATACACCATGACAAAGCAGGATTCATCCCAGGGATGTAGGGATGGTTCAACACACACAAATCAAAAATGTAAAATACCATATTAACAGAGCCAAAGGCAAAAACCATATGATTATCTCAATAGATGCAAAAAAAACATTTGACAAAGCCCAACACCTATTCATGATAAAAACCCTCCAGAAAACTGGAAGAGAGTCTTTATCTTAATCCAATAAAAGCCATCTATGACAAACCAGCAGCCAACATTATATTAAATGGAAAAACTGAAAGCTTCTAGTTTAAAATCAGGAATGAGACAAGGATGTCCACTATCACTGCTCTTATCAAATATAGTTCTAAAAACAGTAGCCAGCGCAAGCAATTAGACAAGAAAAAGAAAAGCAATAAAGGTAGGAAGGAAAGAAGTTAAATTACTATTTAAAGATGACATGATACCCTATATAGAAGACCTGGAAAATGCCACCAAAAGACTCCTACTAGATTTAATAACCAAATTCAGTTGTGTAGCTGCATACAAAATCAAAACTCAGAAATCATGGCCTTCCTGTACACAAATAACAAACTCACGGAGAGAAAAATTAAGGAATCCATACCTTTCACAATAGCATCCAAAAAAATGAAATACTTCAGAATTAGTCTACGCCCTCCATTTTTTATTTTTTGGCTTTTTGAGACTTCCTGGCCTTGAATTCACCATGTAGCCAAGGCTGGTGATCCTCCTGGCAGCCTTCCAAGTGCTAGGATTAAAAGCATGCACTACCACACCTGGCAGGAATCAGTCTAATGAAGGAAGTAAAGCACCTTTACATTGAAAACTACAGTACTCTGAAAAAGAAGTTTGAAGAGGATATCAGAAAATGGAAAGCTACCCCTTGTTGTTGGGTAGGAAGAATCAATATAGTGAAAACGGCCATACTCTCAAAATTGTTACAGAGTTAACACAAGATCAATCAAAATACCAACAGTATACTCACCAAATTAGAGAAAACAATCCTAAAATTCATTTGGAACCAGAAGAGTCTTAGAATAGCAAATGCAATTCTGGGCAACAAAGGCAAGCCAGGGGACATCACAGTCCCTTACTTGAAATTATACAACAAAGCTATAATGATAAAAAAACAGCATGGTACTGGCAGGAAAAAAAAAAAAAAAAGACCCAACGATGTAAGACCAGACTAGAAGATGCAAAAATAACTCCAAACACACTCAGCCTCCTTATCTTTGACAAAGGGACCAACACCTTCACTGGAAGAAAGATAGCCTTTTATGGTAGCCAGGCATGGTGGTGCAAGCCTGTAATCCACTTGGGAGGCTGAGGCAGGAGGATTGTTGAGAGTTTAAGACCAGTCTGGGCTACAAAGTGAGCTCAAGGCCAGCCTGAACTGAATAGTAAGACCCTGTCTCAAAAAGACAAAAAAGAAGAAAAAAAAAGGAGAAAGAGAGCAGAGGCCACACATGACTCTTGGTCTCTGCATACGTCATGATCTCCACTGCCCCAGGCTTTGAAGCAAGAAGCCCAGCACCAGATGTGGCTCCCAACCTGGGACCACAACCATGAGCCAAAATAAACTCAAGGGACTAAAACATAACCCAGGGGCTGGGGATTTAGCTCAGTGGCAAAAGCGCCTGCCTGGCAAGCGCAAGGTCGTGAGTTCGGTTCCCGGTACCGGAGAAAAACCAAAAAAAAAAAAAAATAAAAAAAAATAAAACATAACCCATTCCACTTTGAGGAGGGAATCATGTGAGAGTAACTGTCTGTATGAAAGCACTTTGAAAAGGGAAGTCTCCATACAGTCTATTTAAAGTCAGTAACAATAATTAATAGTGACATTCATATTTTCCAAGAATGAAGGCTTAATAAATACCAACAAGTATTTTCTTAATAGGTTACAAAATGGACTAATAGGCTTCTTAAGATAAGCATGCCACGCTGTCAGATCTGCTTGCCTCCAGGTCTGTCCCAGCCGTTACCTGTATGGGAGTTCCACAGCATGGGCAGCTCTTGGAGTTCTTTTCCAACCACTCCTTACTCTCCATCTCCTCCAGAGCCTTCTGAATCACCCGCTTCCCGTACCTCTGCTCCAAAAACCTTTTATTGGCCTCATCTGCTTGCAGGTACTCATTTCGTAAATCTATTAATTTTTCTAGAAAGTAAAATAGAAAAATTAATTTTTACACCACTGCAATACTGAGTAAAAATCATTTAAAATGCCCATAATCTCTGACTACTCCAAGGTAATCCAAAGTAATATCATACTCATAAAGATGCAAATAACAATAGCAAACAGATTAAATTTGCAAGGAAAATAAATGTGAAAGAGCCATTTGATGACATGATATTCAGTTATTAAAAACTTTAAGAGTCAAATCAGGCTGGCTATTATCCAATTCCAACACTTATAGAACCCAGAAAAAAGTACATTTATGTTATAACTAGGTAAAAATTACCTATGCACAAATGACAAAGGAGGTAATAAAGGAATTCCCCAACTAGAAAAACTGGGCATGCTAAAGGTGATAAGTTCTTTCTTTGATTCTGACTTCTTTCTTTGTTTCCTTTTTGAGACGGGGCTCGCTATGCAGTTCAGGCTGGCCTTGAGCTCACTGGTAGCCCAGGCTGGTCTCAAACTCGCAACAATCCTCCTGCCTCAGCCTCCTGAGTGGGATTATAGGTGTGCACCACCATGCCTGACACTGATTTTGACTTCTTAATGTTTATATATTTATGCAAATGGCACAATTAAAGACCAGCATATAAAAGACCCCAAGGTTGAAAGTGATTTTTCACCGAGCCAGCATCACTCACCTTTTCATAACGAACAAAAGTTTAACAAATACACTATGCACTTTGGGTCCAAGGGCAAAAACTAACCATTCAATTCTGCTTATACAATGATCAGTGAGTCAGCCTCCCCTGTATTATGCTCTATCATAGACACCGAACAGTTCTTCCTGGCAGCTTTTTTCCTTCATATTCTTCATCTGGCTTCTACTGCTGTAACATTTAACTGTAATGAAACCAGCAGCCACTGACAAAGGCTGTACCTGTAGGAAAGTATTTTTGTTCCCAATTCTATTGCCTTATATTTTCAGCACAATTAAAGACTCTCTCAATACTGTTCTAATTATTCTTTTAGTCTAATTTCCTCTTATCATTTAGAGGCTTGTCTCCCTTTTAAGCAGTGAACATTATCTGAGGCAGAATCCTATTCTACACGCTTTCCCTCACCTGTACATTCTTACTGCTTTGTGCATTCCCCATGTTCTGTCACCTCATTTTGATGTATCAAAGGTCTTTTTAATTCTGTAATCTTTATCTAATGATTCAAAGCATTTTTGTGTTCCTACACATCTTCAGGACAAAAGTTATTGCTCTAATGTTCTCAATACAATTTTTAGCACTGCGTATTTTATATAATACCTAGTCTAAAAAAGACACACACACACACACACAAAGTGAGATTTCTAACTTCACTGAAGCCCCTGGCGTATCTTCCATTTCTTCTCTGAATGCTGTGACACACCCAAACTGTACTACAGCCTCTTAACACTAAGGTCACAGAAGCAAAGGCTTCTTTCATACTTTAATGTGACTTAAACTGCAAATGCCCCTATCCTCTGCAAGACTCTGCCATAGGCATCTGGAATTTGTTTGCTCATTCTATTCTTTTAGGTACTTTCTTGGAAATAAGGACACTCTGTTAACATTAACAATTAGTCACTATTCCATGATGATGTTACCATTTTACATTTTCAATGTATTAGCCATTGTTTCTCAAATTATGGTGAAGAACCAGATTTCCCCCCAGTCTGTCAAAGATCAATACTTCTGCAAAATACAGTTAAATGAATACAGTTAAAAGACAAGAAGTCCAAGCCTAAATATGCTGAAATTCCTATAAAAGTTTCTCACCTTGGTTCTCCTTTTACCTTGTTATAGATTAGTATCACAAATATAACTTTTTTTGTCTTTGAGACGGGGTTTCCCTATGCAGTTCAAGCTGGCTTAAACTCACTTTGTAGTCTCAGCTACCCTCAAACTCACAGCAATCCTCCCGCCTCAGACTCCTGAGTACTGGGACTACAGATAAGCACCACCACGCCTGGCCAGATGTAATGATTTTGAGTACCAGTGTATTATTTTTCTTCATCTTTCCAATAACCCTAGCTATAGGGATAATAGCTGCTAGCTTTTATCATCATTTCTGAGAAAAACGAAGCCACTGGAGACCAGTTAAATTGACGAAAGGCTGAATTCCCTGTTCTTATCTAGATCACAACTGATAAATACAGGCATAGCCTCTGTGCCCACTCCAAAAGAGGGTGGCTTTCTGAAGAGCCACACTGAGGGAGGTTCTGAAGTCTGTGGCCTCAATGAGAAAGCATCTGAGGACTGATCAGATATATATGCCATGAAAACAACAGTGAGCCAGGCGTGGTGGCACACACTTGTAATCCCAGCACTTGGGAGGCTGAGGCAGGAGGATCACTGCAAGTTCGAGACCAGCCTTGGCTACAAAGTGAGCCCAAGGCCACCCTGAGTTGCACTGCATGACCCTGTCTCAAAGACCCCCTCCCCCCCAACATGACAGTGGCAGCTTAGATGCCCCATTATCTGTGATGTAGGATCTACATTCTCCCGCGTTCACAGTGAGAAATTATCTTGCCATTTCTTTTTCTGGACACCCGCCCTCCCCCTATCTGCCTGGTTTTACTTCCTTCCTTCATCTTAAACCATTCAGGCAGTGAAGTCTCCTCTGGTTTGACTAGAACTCCAAGGCCCTCAGCACCAATACACCTCACATCCTGGCCCTGCTTCCTTTCTTTCTCCTTAGCACTTACTCTCACCTAATGTCCCCAAGTATTTTGTTTGCCTGTCACCTCTACTAATATGTGTGTTTCATGAAGACAGAGTTTGCATCCCAAGAGCCTAGCATAGTAAATAACACAAAAGTATCTACTGAATGAATATTTTTAAATTTGGGAATTGAAGTCTTTGTCAAAGGAAGAGGAAAGGAGGTTTGGGTTCATAGAGTTACAACTTACCTGCAGTTACCTTACATGGAGAGACCCCATGGTAGGTCAATCTGCACAAGGTACAGAAGGCAAAATTGCAGCTGGAGCAGATGCCCATGGTGCAGCCAGGCTCCTGCATGACAGGCAGCTGGCAGCATGGGCGGGGGCAGTACACCACATCTGCCATCAGGTCCAAGGTGGACTGGAGGAGAAGGCGGTCATACCGGGCAAATAACTCTGCTTCCACAAGCTCTTTGACCTGCAGAGGTACAAAACATCATAGATCTAATGATTCCCTGACCAGTTCTGATCCTGAGGAGAGTCTTAGGATGCTGTTATAAACTAGATGGTCCAGAAATTAAAACCCCTATCTCACTTCAGAATCAAACCAAGTATGGAACATTCATGTCCATCCTGTGCCCTACCATTTTTTCTGAGTGAAGAGAAATCATCTTGAGTCACACATGAAATAGAAAATAGAGCCCAGGGGTTTAGATCAGTGGCACAGTATGAGGTCCTGAGTTCGATTCCCGCTGTAAAAGAAAAGATAGTGAATATATGTAACAAAGTTAATATACAGTTCATGTATAATATAGTTAATGTATATAAAAACTGCCTCTTTTTTTTGTTTTTTTCTGGTACTGGGAATCGAACTCACGACGTTGTGCTTGCCAGGCAGGCACTGTGCCGCTGAGCTAAATCTCCAACCCTTAAAACTTTCTTTATTTTTGAGACAGGCTCTCACTATGCAGTTCAAGCTGGACTTAGACTCATTATGTAGCCCAGGCTGGCCTCAAACTCTTCGTGATCCCTCCTGAGTGCTGGGATTACAGGTGTGTGCCACCACACCTGCTTAAAAACTTCCTTTTTAATGTTTATTATAACATTAAAAAGAGAAGGAAAAAACCCAGCAGGCAGAGGCAGGACCCTGAAGTGGTACTCGCATAGGTCTACACTAAACAAACTATATAAACTATATGGATTAAGGGGGTATAGTTTACTGTAAGCAAAATCATGCCTTGATAAAGCTGACTTAAACAAACAAAAACTGAAAACAAGTAGGCTGCACTTGTGCTAACGGATATACACAGTAACTCACCAAACTTCACAGTTACATTTTTATCACTCTTCCAAGACTACCAAAGGAGGCATTTGCACTTGCTTACATGATAAGGACCACGTTTTTGTTTTTTTTTTTTTTCCCTTTGGGCGATAGTGGGGATTCAACCTGGCGCCTTTGCACTGTGCTACATCTCCAGCATTTCTTATCTTTATCATTTTGAGACAGTCTTATGAAGTTACCCAGGCTGGGCTCAAACTTGTGATCCTCCTGCCTCAGCCTTCCAACGTGCTGGGACTGCAGATGTGCACCAGCAGGCTACAGTGCTACTGACAGATATGGTGAAACTTGTAGGCTGGCTCTAAGATCTTAGACTGCACTACGAACCCAATCAAGGAAGTTCCGGAGAAGATTCTCTCTTTGTGAAAGAGAATCAGGAGGCAATCCTTCACAGAGTAAATTACCTGACCAGGCGTGGCCACTGAAGTGCACTTTGGTTCTGGGCAGTTGAGACACTGAACTTGGCCATCTTTGATCTGGATTTCAAAGTAGTCCTTCAGGCAAGCTTTGCAGTACACATGCCTGCACTCCAAGAAGTACATGCACTCACCACCCAGCTTCTCACAGAAACAGATATTGCACAGAAATAATTTACTATTAAAACATTTCATCTGCTGAGCTTGATCGAAGTCCAAGATTTCCTGGATTAGGCTTGACAATGATTCCACATCCTGTACAGCTCTCTCATCCACTACTTCCTCTTGGTCTGTATCAGATCCAACGGCTCCTCCAAAATCTACCTCTGTGCTGGGAGAGGCTGGAGCTGTCCTCCTCTGCACTTTTTTCTGAGAACCCATCTTGAGCTCAAAAGGAGAGACAATATTCAGATACGCTAAGGTCTCTTCTTTAAGAAACTGCATCCAGGCAAAGAGGACCACGCTGCCTCGGTGCTCTTCCCACAGGTTGTCTAAGTGCTTGCAGAGAGCAGAGAGCTAGGAAAAAGCACACGAAGGTACCGTGAGTTTGGAAAGATAAAGCTCCGAACTCCTCATCTCCTTTTGAATCTTGTTAAATTAGCTCCTTACGCTTCTTAACATTCTATTGTATGACTCTAAACTGCTACAAAACATAACCAACATTCTCACCAAAGGACTTCATAAACTCCTCAACAACATACACCACAGAACACAAGTACCGCACAAACAGGAGAAATGGCAAAACTCCGTGAGACATAGAAATATTTACATGGAAGCCTTTGAACTGGAGGATGCTTTCTGTTCATTTGTTGTGTTGTGTTTTGTTTTGTTTTTTTAAAGACAGGTTCTTGTTAGGTAGTTTAGACTGGCCTTGAACTGACTATGTAGCCCAGGCTGTCCTCAAACTCATGTCGATCCTACTGTCTCAGCCTCCTGAGTGCTAGGATTGCAGGCATGTGCTACCACGCCTGGCTTGTCATTTGCTTTGTTTTCCTATCTTTGCTCTATTGCTCATGTTGTTTAAAGAGATCTACCTATTTATTTATTTTAGCTTTTTGAGACACGATCTCACTGCATAGTTCAGGCTGGACTTGAACTCACTATGTAGGCCAGGCTGGCCTTGAACTTGCAGCAATCCACCAGCTTCAGCCTCCCCAGTGCTAGGATTACAGGCATGTATCACGACACCTGGCCAAGATCTACCTGTAAGAGGAATTATATCTCTTCCTTGTGGAGTCCTAGCTCCACAGGTACCCTAGAATGATTAGCAAACATTTTAAAAATACCATCCAGGGCTAGGGATGTAGCTCAGTGGTAGAACACTTGTCTACTATGCATGAGGCCTAGGTTTGTTCCCCAGTACCACAAAAAACATACACACATACATATATACAAAAAAGAATCAATAAAATCTAGGAAAGGGAAATATTTCCAGTAAATAGTGCTGGGAAAATTGGATACCCACAACCAGAATAAATGAGATTATATCCTTTATTTTCCAGCAGTTACAAAAATCAATTCAAATTAAAGACTCAAATGTAAAACCTAGAACTATGTAACTCTAGAAGCGGAAATGCTTTGAGACACTGGAATGGGCAGGAACTTTTTGGACAAGATTCCAAAACCACAGCGAACACAAGCAAATATAAACAAGGACTGCATCAAATTAAAAAAGCTTCTGTGTGGCAAAAGCAGTGATGTAGTTCAGACACAACCTATAGAATGAGAGGAAATATTTGCAGCATATACATCTGACAAGGAGTTTGCTAACCAGACTATCTAAAAGACTTCCAGAGCTCAAAAGCAAAGAAAACATAAATAAATAAAGCAGAAAGGGGCTGGTATGTGTGGCTTAGTGACAAAGTACTTGCACAGCATTTCCAAGACCCTGTTCTTAGCCCCACCTTCACAAGGGGGTGCGGTTTACAGACCTACACAGACATTTCTCAAGACATACACATAGCCCACAGGTACATGAAGCAATGCTCAACCTCACTTATGGGGACGATGCGAATCGAAAACTGCAATGAGACATCGCCTCACTCCAGTAAGAGTGCTACAATCAAAAACACAAGCACTGGCAAGGCAAAGATTTAGAGAAAAGGGAAGGCTTCTACAGCATTGGAGGAAATGTAAAATTACTGTAGGTATTATGGAAAACAGTATAGAGGCTCCTCAAAAAATTAAAAATAGAACTACAGTATGATCTAGCCATTCCACTACTGGGTACATATCCACAGAAAATAAAATCACTAAGTCAGAGACATCTGCACTCCTATATTTACTGCAGCCAGAAATGGAAACAACCTGAATGTCTACTTAAGGATGAATGGAAAATGTAGTGCAGCAGAATACTATTCAGCCATAAGAAAGGACAAAATCCTGTCATTTATAGCATAACATGGGTGGAACGGAAGATCATTATGTTAAGTGAAATGAACCAGGCACAAAGAGAGTAAATATTGCAGCATGTCACTGATAAGAATGTCACAGACATTCAGAGTGGAAGGGGAACCACCGAAAGCTGGGAAGGGAAGAAGAGCGGAAGGTTGATCAGTGGGTACTGAGTCAGACAGGAGAAAGTAATTACGGCGTGCTACTGCCCAGTAAAGTGACCACAGATAACAATGATGTCCTGTATCAAAAAGTTAAAAGAAGGGGCTGGGGATTTAGCTCAGCAGCAAAGTGCCTGCCTGGCAAGCACAAGGTCCTGAGTTCGGTTCCCGGTACCGGAGAAAAACCAAAAAAAAAAAAAAAAAAAAAATTAAAAGAAAAAAAAGTAAAAGATTTTGAATGTTTCTACTGTAAAGAAATGATAAATGTGGGGAAGTATGTCTACAATGATTTAAATAGTAGACAACACACAGTGTATGTATTAAAGCATCACATACTCCATGTACCCTATAGATATGTATATTCTTTTGTTTTTATGAAGTTAAAAATTTAAATTTAAAAATTAAAATGCCATCCAAATTTTAAAATTCTTTCAATCCCATCAAAAAGCCAACTCATCTGAAGGAATCACGAGCAGAATTCAACCTGAGAGCACTTATTTTTCAGATATACAAGCTACTTTTTCACCATGCAATGAGGGCTATGTCAGATCCTGATGAGTATGATGGAGGCAGACGGATACTGAACCTGCACATACTTACAAGCCCTCAACATGCTTTGGTCACCATGCAGAAAGGTCACACTCCCCAAACTAAGTGACCGAAGTTTTTTGATATTTTCTCTTTAAAAGTGGTCGATTCAGCAGGGTGTGGTGGTGCGTGGCTGTAACCCCAGCTCTCTCGGAAGCTGAGCAACAAGGGTTAAGAGTTCAAGCCCAGCCTGGGGAATTTAGACCCTGTCTCAAAATTTTAAAGAAAGGGGAGTTATAGCTCAGTGCAAAGGCCCAGATTTTAATACCCAGTACCATAAAAATAAATAAGTGAACAACACAAATGGAAGAGGTCTTTTTGATTTGAAAGGTAAATGTAAGAGGATTTTCCATTAGAAATGTAGAATATTTGTAACAGAGCTCAGGAATTATAAGCTGCTTTTCTGTTTTAGGTAAACAACCAAAAATAAGTCTTCCAGATGGCAAAGAAATTTGTAAATTTAAACAACAAGTGAAAGAAGACCACATTTTCTAGTTCTTGCTCTGCACAGTGCTACTGACTAAAACCTGGCATAGGCACTAACTCAGACCTACTAACACGACTAACAACGAATGCGTGAATTTCACATTCACGTAAGGAGGCATATCAACCATGCTTCTGAGAAACCTGCTAAAATCTGTAAAATGTAACAAATACTTTTTTTTTTGTACCAGGAATTGAACTCAGGACCTTGCGCTTGCCAGGCAGGCGCTGGTGCCACTGAGCTACATCCCTGGCCCAATGTAAGAAAAACTTAAAAGAGAACTTTTGCGAGCTATGTGAACCATGCTATGTGAACCACCAGGTCCAACAAGAAGCCGTTCTCCTCCATCCTCTTCTCCTGCCCCTTCTCCAGAGGCAGCAGGGACACACGCAAATGTTACAGGGGGAGGGCAAGAGAGAGGAAAAGAGCAAGCGCGATCCCGAGTGTGCATGCATACCAGGAGAGGAACAATGGCAAACACCAGGAAACCAAATCCACACCCTAATCTTATCTACCCACCCCAACTCAGTGAATGACAGGTCCTTGTGTCGGTTTCACTACCAACAGGGGCAATTCACAACACCATGGAGTCCGGAGGCAGTAACAAAAAGCGAGAAACAAAAGAAAAGAACATAAAAGACAAATTAAAATGTCAATTCTGTGCATAATTTTAGCTGTAAAACATAAAATAATGAACAACCCTCCTCCTCCATAGGAACCCCCAAAGGTCAGCCTTAGGTAGATTCTACAATCTCGAACTGTAACCACACATCCAGTTAACCTGAGCTGCATTTGTTATTTACATATGCATGCACACACATATGGTAAAGTACCAAGACTCTCAGAGAAATGGGACTATAAACAGCTAAATGCTTTAGTCAATGGTCAGTGACCAAAGTGTCAGTCTCAGCAGGATGCAGTGGTGCACATCTGTAATGCCAGCTACTTGGGAGGCTAAGACACAAATTCAAGGCCAGCCGGGGCAAATCTGTGAAACCCTGTCTCAAAATTTTAAAAGCTGAGTGATGGAACACTTGGCTAGCACATGTGAGGTCCTGGGGTAAATCCGCAATGCTAGCGAAAAAAGAAAACCTCAAACAGTCTTGCTATTCCTGGGCCAAGTAATGAACTATCCTGCACCTGTTACAGAGATACCACAATGTAGAGTAATGTTCCTTTTTATTCTACATGTATTATCTTTTTTTTAAAGTTTTTTTTTTCCTAAAACATAATCTCAATTATGGGAAAACATGCTCATTTAAAAGATTAGTGAGTGGGGGAATAAAAACCAAAAGGAAAAAATGTGCTATTCCTTGGGGTCAGTCACTCAAGACAACTTCTGTCTTAGTATCCTCAGCCTATCAATCTTCATCATGACTTCTGGAAAAGTAGCAGCTATCGATCCATTACATCCCAGAATACTTCTTATTAGCTTCAAGTCCTATTTATGTCTCAATCAAGAGTTGAAGTTGAAGAGAGACAGCTGAAGGCTCCAAGTATGAATAAAGAGATAGAAATGCTCATTACTGATTTGACCAGTATGTGCTATATATACTTGTTGAAATCACACTGTACTCCATAAATATTCATAATTACTACATGCAATTAAAAAAATGGTTGAGAGTGTTACTAGAACCTAGTACATAACCTACAAGAAATGAAGGCTTTCAATACAAGGTCACCAATCTTATTTTTTTTTTGGTTTTTGGTTTTTGAGACAGGGTCTCACTACGCAGTTCAGGCTGGCCTTAGACTCACTATGCAGCCCGGTCTGGCCTCGAACTCACAGTGATCCTCCTGCCTCTGCCTCCCAAGTGCTGGGATTACAGGCGTGAGCCACCACACCCGGCCGAAGGTCATAGATCTTAATGAAATATCTATAAGAACTATACACACCTGTGTGTACATTTAATTCTAAGTGAGAATAACAATTATTTGTTACTAATATGTGGGTTTTTATGAAGAAAAGTACTTATATTTACTCAGGAAATCTTATTATAGCTACATTAGCTCTATTTTCAGTCCTAATTACAATTAAATCTCTTATTTAACGAATGGACAAGAAATTAAGGGGAAAAAGTATCAACATCTAAGGAAAATGAGGAAGATCTCACAGTCTCCACTACAGCAGAGATTAAATAGGAAAACAGTAAGACAAGAAACAATGTACTTTTTTTTTTTGGTTTTTCTCCGGTACCAGGAACCGAACTCATGACCTCGCGCTTGCCAGGTAGGCGCTTTGCCGCTGAGCTAAATCCCCAGCCCCAGAAACAATGTACTTGATTGAAAATTACTATTACAATTCATAAATCCATCATAATGATTAATCATTCATTTACTGCCATTCCTTCTAAATCAACATTTTCAATTCATTAACATTAAGATTCATAAAGGCAAGGGGGAAAATTATGAAATCAAAGTCGTTTGTTTTTCATGCAGTGAATTCAGGATCATCAAGGTAGTCTTCCATTAAAGGTGATTTTGTAAATTTCTAAAAACGGAGAGGAGAAATTAAGTTTTGGGTCTACCTGAGTTGGTGACAGCCATTTGCCACTAAGTGTGAATGAAGGTGGGGAGGAGGATGGATAATCTGGTGGCAGTTCAAAGTTCAGCACAAGTGGAGGCAGAAAGCAAATGGTGTATTCAAAGCCACCATTCTGGAGACACTCATTTGAATTGCCTGAACCGAAAACAAAGGTTAGAAAGGATCAGTTGGTCAACACCTGAGTGTCCATTATTGATGAGCAATGCTCCCAAAAAAGACTTCCTGCTTTAGGTGAGGGGATAAAACCCTCCCCCAAAGCACTTTCTAATCCCTAATTTTAACTTCCTAGCCACCACCTTAAGGAAAAAAAAAAACCTAATCCTGGAAAAATCTACACGGCACCATGAAATGTATAATGAAGACACACAGCGTATTCTTGTATACACTTCTCAGGATAATTCCTGACACTAATGATTACGTAACATAAAATGTTTATTTCATCGTTGGTTTATAGTAGGTGATTAAAAGACACAGCCTAGAAAAAAGAACACATCTCTATCAAATAACCAACCATAACTTACTTAGACCAGCATGGGCCAACTACCCATGAATCACAGCGAGGGATGTTCCTACCAGCACAATCTTAGGCTTGAGGACAAGATACAGCACACACTTTCACATTGGCCTCATTTAAATGACTATGTTCTTTACTCAATGCCTCTAGGGTAGAAACATTGTGGAAAAAGGGCGTATCAAAGTCTTCTGTGAATGTATCAAAAGCAGTTTTATTTTTACTGAAGCAAAAGGTCACAGGGTAATAGCATGTGCCACTTGTTTATGGCAGCTGAAATGATTCTAGAAATCAAATAGTATTAACAACCACCATTGTACTTTGAAGTGGTCCAAGTGTTTTCACAGGTGTATTTCATTTTGTTTGATTATCCTCTCTTAACTATGGATGACTCCTAGCTGATAAACTCTCTTGGAAGACAGGATGCATAAAATATGCAGGCAATCCAAGTGCAGTGGCGCATGCCTGTAATCTCGGCACTGGAAGTTGAGGCAGGAGAATCACCATGAGTTCAAGACAAGCCTGAACTACATAGCAAGACCCTGTCTCCAAAAAAAAAAAAAAAAAGAGGAAAAAAAAAGGCAAGGAAATACCCCAATTCAGTGATTTAAAAGGAATTAAACTGCAAACTATTTACCTCTCATTCTAATTTTTTTAAAAAGCAAACATGGGTAAAGTCTGCAATAATACCATCTATCACTAATGCCTATAAACACAAAAAGGCACACAGTTCAGAGTACACCAAAAAATTGAAAATATTTATTAAGGAAAAATCTATGTAAGAGAATATTATCAACTAACCGCTTACAAATATCTTGAAATTTTGTGGCAAATCCAAATAGATCCTGGTTTCTCCACCTTGGACAGATTCTGCTTTTCTAAATTCATCTCCATCATAAATACTTGCCAGTGCCAGCAATTCATCCTCCTGAGCTTCTCGGTCTTCTGACGACATTTACTTTTCTGAGGAATTGAAAATAATCATTCAAATCAGTTAAAAATAGAAAAATGCAGTTTTGGGGCAAGTTTAATGGTACATAAAACAAACGTTCCTCACAAACAACTACAAGGGATTATTATTCTCAAGTTTCTGCTAAACCAAAACCAAGAGCCATGCCCACCATTCTATTAGATTTGCAGCAGAAATGGTCTTTTTCGATTTTTTTTGTTTGTTTGTTTGTTTGTTTGTTTGTTTTTCCCGGTACTGGGGATCGAACTCACAACCTTGCGCTTGCTGGGTAGGCACTGTGCTGCTGAGCTAAATCCCCAGCCCAGTCTTTTTCAAAAAAGGGTGGGGGCTGGGGATTTAGCTCAGCGGCAAAGCGCCTGCCTGGCAAGCGCAAGGTCGTGAGTTCAGTTCCCGGTACCGGAGAAAAAACAAAAACAAAAACAAACAAACAAAAAAAGGGTGGTTGTGGTGCTTTTGCTGATTTTATCAACTAAACATTGTGATTCATTTGGAAAAAAAGTACAATTCAAAACAACTGAAAGATATCAAATCACAAACTGTTTTGACTTGTCCACTGGACTTGGAAAAGTAGCTTATTTAAAAAAAATTGGAAATAATTTGATGTGCATCTTAAATTTTTGTGGGCGGGGAGGATGGGACGGGACAGGACACTATGTTGTGGAAGGATGTTTAACAGCATCCCCTGGCTTGTGCTCACCAGATGCCAACTGTGGCCCTTCCCAAAGAGTTGTAACACTAAATAATAAGTCTAGATGGGCACCAGAACTGTTTCCAATTGAGAAAACCCTGTTTTGGAGGAAGTTACAGACAAGGTTCCATATAAGAAAGTAAGACAACTAAGCAAGCAACAAAGTAATGTTAGGGGCTGGGGATTTAGCTCAGCGGCACAGAGCCTGCCTCGAAAGCACAAGGTCGTTGGTTCGATTCCTGGTACCAGAAGAAAAACAAAAACAAAGTAATATTAAAATTTTGAAAAAACATCTAATTTTGTCAAATGTAAAAGCCATTAATTTTGAGTTACTATTATTTTAGGTAACATAATCAAAACATTCTACAATTAAAGCATAAATCAATGATTTTTCAGTTGCGATGACAGAAAGATAGGGCACAATTACAGATAATTTCAAAGGGAAAAATATGCAACGAAAAATCCATAGAAATCAATTTTAAAAATTACGACTCTGTTAACTAAAACAGAGTTGGGCATAATTGTAGTTGCTCCCTTCTCAGCTACAAACTTTTTAAAAAACTTGAAATGCACAAAATTGAAAGGTCAGGATGTAAAATAGTTTTCTCATCATAAAAGGTAACAAAAGTTAAACAAATCCGTGTAAAATGATTCCATTTTCTGAAAACTATGTCTCCCCCAGCAATGTCAATGACTCTGCTTCAGCTGCATCCCTAAGGCACAGGGACATGTTCTATTTGAGGTCAGTCAGTACCTGTTAATAGCAACCAGAAGGAAAGGATATTAACACTGCAGTCTGTATTTCAGTTCCGTTTGTAATTTGTGCAAATCCCATTCATTCTCCAGCCAGTGGAGCTGAGACTGCTGAAGATGGATAGGACGCCAAGATGTGGGACTCATATTAGATACACTATGAAAATCCTGCCATCTGCAGAAAAGAAAGGTGAAAGATGGTGTTAGAAATATGAAATTTAAATTCCATTATTACCATGTAAGTCAAACACATTCTAATATACAGCCAACCCTTATCTACAGCTGCATATGGGTATAACTCTTAGGACAGAATGAGTTATGTGGTTGAAGGGGCAAACAGCATGTTCCCTGCCATGGCAGGGGCCTTATCTGACTGCCCTCAGCCTGAGGAGGAACACCAAGGTCATGTGCGAAGACAGGATACTACACCCCACAACAAACATCTTACAGTTTGTTTTTTTCTTTTCTCCTTCTTGTACTGTTTCATTGCCCATATGTTTCCAGTTTTCTCTATCATAACTATTAATTAACCTTCCCAGAGATACTCAAGGTTAGATTAACTTGGATAGAAGTTTTTACTTTTTCTTTCTTTCTTTTTTTTTTTTTTTTTTTTGGGTAGGGCTGGGGATTGAACTCAGGGTCTCACGTATGCTAGGCAAGCTATATCCCCAGACCAGAAAAATATTTTTAAACAAAACAAGAGCACACACACTTCTAAGTTTTAAAAACACAAACTTTTAACTTTTACTCCAAATGTTTTTGAACCAGACTTCTGTTATTCTGTTTTTTTGAGAAAGCATCTCCCATGTAGTTCATGCTGGCCTTGAGCTCATTATGTAGCCCAGGCTGGCCTAGAATTTGTGGTGATCCTCCTGCCTCAGCCTTCCAAATGCTGGGATTACAGGCGTGTACCGCCACCACATCCAGCTAGAACCAGACTTCTAAACTGGGGTTCATGAGGGAAGGGACACGTGGTCCACATATAGGTCATGTAAAGATCCATGAATATCTTAAAATTAAATGAAAATATTACATGAAACTGTAATATTTAAACTAGACTCTCAGATAAATGACTCCGAAATAAGCTAAGAATGGTATTCAAAACCAATTTACATTTATCAAACACCCTGTACTCTATTAGATCCTTTCACATTCATTACCTTACCTCGGTCTTCAACCAGTACTTTACCCTGATCCTCAACAGTTTCACCAGGTAGTAGTAGCATGCGGTGATGATAACAGGATGAAGCTTTTTGCATCTTTTAAAAACACTTACACAAAGTATAAGACATGCATTTGTAGAACTTACGGTTTCAGGTTAGCCATCTCTACCTTCCCGACACAACAGGGTCTCCTGAGGCTTTTTAAAATCCCAATTCCCAGGCCACACCCCAGGGCAATTAAGTCAGGCCTGTAGTTTTCAGGGCTCACAGGTGAAGCCAGGGCTGAGAACCTGTACTCAAGCCAGGTTTCTCTTCAGCAGTTCCTCACGATGGGGAGCACATCAGGTTCTGAAGGTGCCGGAGGGCCCCAGTGGCTGACCTCCATTTCCTTCTGATTCAACCCATTCAGTCTCTGAAGCTCACCTCCAACGCTCTTACTACTTAGCACTTTCCACTTAGACGTATCTTTCTTTAACTTCCCTACGACATTATCACATCCCACGCACGGCATGACGGTAGTTTATGAACTTACAGTTCCTTTCCTACTAACCCGCATCCATCCCTCAGACAAGGACCAAGTGTCAACTGTGCATCATTCTTAGCTAGCAGTAACGCGTGCTAGACACTGGAAACATTGTAACAAACTGTGCTGAAATTCCAGCGTGCTAGAGCCGAGGGCCAGGAGCAGAGAGTTCGGTGCGCAACCAGAAAGAGAACGTTGCGTGCGTCAGGACAAGAGCATTAACAACAGTAACCACTGGCGAGGTGGTAACTGCTGCGTCAGGCTCCGTGCTAAGCTCTTTCAATGCAGTAACTGTTGCTAGATTCCTACAACCACACGACACAGGTTGTGTCCGTTACAGAAATGAGAGAAATGAGTCTGGGTCCCCTTTCTGGCTCAAGGTCACACAGTTAAAATGTAGCTAAATCTGGATTTACAACGCCCGGTCTGTTTATCTCTAACACTGAGCCAAGAGTGAACTCCGGCATCGTCAGACACGCGATCGAGTTCAATGTTAAGTTTGTAGCAAAGCGGAAACCGCTTCCGCAGGGAGGGAAGCCCCGCCTCCAGCCGAGCCGGGCCTCCCCGCTCTCCCAGGCCGCACCGTGCGGGCCCGGGCCGCCGCCGCCGGGGCCGCCGCCGCCGCCGCGTTCCCCAGCGCTCGCCATGGCCGAAGAGCTCTCCGCGGCCACGTCCTACACCGAAGACGACTTCTACTGTCCCGTCTGCCAGGAGGTGCTGAAGACGCCCGTGCGGACCGCGGCCTGTCAGCACGTGTGAGTAGCCGCCCCTCCCCGCGCGGCGCGGCCCGGCCGCCCCCGTCCGGC